CCCAAATACAACCACCTCCCTCCAGCGACCAGATGATGACCCGATCCCCAACAGCGATGTGCCTTGAACGCGAGTTGACTCTCGAAGCGAAGCGCCGCTGCCATCTCAACATGTGCCGACTTTATCTCCCAAGTCAACTCGATGCCCCGACTGATAGTAACGCTCCACATCCGTGGTCAGAGGTATGGTTGGACGTGTGGCAGCGGGGGCGAGGTATGGCACTTCATACCACTAAGCTTCAGCCCCCTCTCGTGCACTCTTGAGCGAAGAAAGTGGCGCGATACCGCAGCTGCGGACTCAAGCACCTCGCGCATGGCAAGGACCAAGATCCACGGTGTGGAGCGTACAGTTTTTTTTCCAAGCAATGCTACCTTACCTCTGCATGAAACTGTTGTCAGTTTTCTGCTCTTGCTTGCCCTCGATGATCAGATCACGGCCGTCCAGGTTCACTTTCAGCTCTTCTGGGTGAAAATGGGACACGTCCAGAGACACGGCAAACTTCTTGTCATCGTCGACGACCTGTCAAAAAATACTACATATATCCTGGTTGGGCACTTCTTCCACAAATTTCCTCCTGATTTCAGGACACTCTCTGACTTAGAACAGCATTCAATCACTGAGAAAAGAAAAATGAGTTCAATAGTGAACCGTTTGAGTCTCATCGGCGACGTGCATCACTGACTGATCTGCATGTCTCCAGTAAGGGTAGAGGCTTCTCTCGAAACGACTGAAGTCACGGAAATAATCGTTCATCATGCGATTCATCATATGAGCCCATTGATCCATGGCTGCTGACTGCACGTTCACTGTAAAGAAAATAGGATAGAGATTTTGTGTCCTGATTTGTAGCCGAAAACACAGATAGGTAGGTAGATAGATAGATGGATGGATATATTAGATAGATAGATATAGATATAGATAACGTAGGAAAAGGACAGGATACCCGAGTGGCTTTATTGTTGCGTGGGAGTGTGGAGCGTTAGGCTGCGTTCATACTTTGCGGCAGCGTCCATTTTGAGCGTCCGGCAGCGTCAGTGGCTGGGAAAGTATAGATATCGATCTAGCGTCCCAGCGTCTGCCAGCGTGCATCAGCGTCTCCCAGCATTCGCCAGCGTCTAGCAGGTCCACCAGCGTCTTGAGGCCTGGGAAGTATAGCTATCGATCCAGCGTCTGCCAGCGTGCACCAGCATCTACCAGCGTCCGAGGGAGGAGAGTATGGGACGATAGGAGGGTAGCAGACAGCTGTAGAGCATGGTGAGACAGGAGGGTAGCAGACAGCTGGCGCCCTCCTATCGCACCATACTCTCTACCAGCAGTCTGCTGCTGGTCGCTGACGAAGGTAGATGCAGACGCTAGATCGATACCTGCATTTTACTAGCCCTCGAGACGCTGTTAGACGCTGGTGGACACTGGCAGACGCGCAGACGCTAGATCGACATCTACACACCAGTCGGATCACCCAGCTACGCCGAGCTCTCCTCCTTCTCTACAGCCCGGTTTCGTAGGCTGGTCTGGTTCGCCAGGCGTGCTTCATTATGCAAACGGAACTTCGGACCCACTAATAATGTTCCGGTTTCATACCCTATGTTATATCTTGGAAACTTTCTGCCCTTGCTGGAACCGGCGCTATGGGTGGACTCGGTGACCCTCCCCTTCTGACGCCTCTTATCAGATCTTATCAGCTGATATCACTCCGTCACCCACTAATAATGTTCGTCCCGCACTCTATGTCATATCTTGGAACCAACTTCCCGCCGTTGCTGGGACCGGCGTTATGAATTACGTGACAAACATACGACGCACACACGCACAGACTTAGCGGATTATATAGAGTAGGACACATTATTAGTCGCTGAGAACGGACGCTCGGAATGCTGGTGGACGCTGCCGGAAGGTATGAACGCAGCCTTACTTCCCAGTTGCGGCGAAATAGGCGTTGCGAGCTGGGGGTCATCCGCACCAGAACTCAATTCACTCAAACAAAGGAAATGATTTGTTTCATCTCTGTCTCAGACGAACACCTCTTGTGATCCTCTCCCGTCTACCCATACCTTTAACTCGACGGGAACGCGGATGGGGACATTTTTGGGGGCTTCCACCCAGAACTTCTACCTCTAGAAGCCGACAGCCTGGTTTCATATTGATCTGATTGTTCGAGTATTAAACCACTTACCTATTCATCTTCTGTGCACTGTGAAGGTGGCAAAGGGTTCTGCCGTTGAGTTGAGGGAAAATTTCGCAAAGTATGACCCCCCCCACCCCTTAAACTTCCTCCTCTAGTCTCCCCTTTCGATACATCCTACCAAACTTCCTCTTAAGTTTCCCAACTTTTCCAAAATTCTAGAAATTCTGCCTAAAAAGCTGCTGTCGAGCAATATTCGTGATCAGGACCCCCGGCTGCTCCAGATTCAAGTTTACGATGAAATTTTCAAAATAGCGGTGAAATGACAAGAATTAATGTACAGCATCTTCTGGGGTATAAGGCGCACCCATATACAAGACCCATTCGCTTCGAATGCCGCCAATAATTCTTCCTCACTTTAATTTTGTGCCCCTTTTTGTTCTTACCCTTCTTATTAATGCTTTTATTAATTATTTGTTTATTTTATTAATGACCTACAATTAATGAGAAAAATCAGTGAAAACTAAACAGAAGATTAGACCACGCAAAATAAGACAGAAAAAGCTGCTGCTGTATCTACGAACGCGTTGTTTTTCGCGTGCGACTTCGAGCTAGGGCACATCGAGCTGGGGAATCCCCAACGGAGGGAGGGGGGGAGGGGGAGGGGGGGTCGTATTTGGCCGCCAGGAGAGGGGAGGGTCGTATTTGGGCTGAGAAAAATTTATTTTGATAGTTGATTTTTCTCGCTTCACGGACGTTGTAAAAGGGGGGTCGTACTTGCTCATTGTTGGGAGGGGGGGTATTCACTTTCCTTTCTAGGAGTGGTGGGGTGGTGGTTGACTTTTCGTGACTTTTCCTGTTCCATGCGTACTGTATACTCGACAGCAAAATTTTTGGGAAAAAGTAGGAAGTTTTCGGAAACTTTGGAAGAAGTGTTAGGAAGTTGGGAAAAATCTGAAAATTGGTAGAGGGGAAGGGGTCGTATTGTCTCGCGGCTTTTCCTGTCACATGTGCTGTTTACCCTACTCCCCCCCCCCGCTTGACGGCTCGATTCGATGAGGAGGGGAGGGTTTGCTACAACCCCCTCCCCTCCAGCCCTCTGTCCCGCTCAAGAAAAAGGGGGCAAAAAAAGGGGGGAGGGTCGTACGGACCCGACTAAATCCCCAACCAATGATGTGCCCTGCTTTGGGCTGCGAGCCTTGTAATCCAGAAAACAGGGTAGTAGTGAGGTTACCGGATAACACCTATGGAGAAAGTTTTGGCCAATTTTCCTTCATAGCAGAAATAGCTGGATAGTGCTGAACTTTTAAATTAGATCGAAGTCAAGTACATTTGTCGGATAAGCTTGAAATTATTCATTTCCATCGGAGTGATTCTACGGCAATCTGTAAGGTGGTCCCTAGACGATGGGACCATTTGATATTACAATAGAAAAAGCTGTGAAAACACTGACGCCTTCCGCTGGGATGACAACGAACACATTAACCAACATCGATCGGCCGGTTGCAATGTCATTGCCGTGAACAGCGGATGTTTTTCTTCAGTGTTGAAGGGCAGTCCAGATGATGACTAGCGATTGCAGAAGTATTGATTATTGGGAGGGGGGTACTAACAACATGAAACAACATGTTTACTCTTTACACTGCGTCATGTACTCAAGCTACCATTCAAAGGTCACGGGTCCGATATCATTGCGAAAAATTTGGACTTTTGACAGCTTTGATGCGATAATAAAATCGTGCGGTATTGCGTAGGCTACGAAGAGGGAAATGCCTAGGTGGACCGCACCGTGCACATGGAAAGGACAGTAAGTGGCATGGAAGCGTTCTGTTCCCAGCCCACCGGAGAGCCTGCCAGGGACCAAGGAGGAGAGTGGTACGGAAATTAGTGACTTCGTCCCCCCTTTTTTTAGTACCGGCCCTAACCACTAGATTGTTTGGCGGGGATCTCTATTAACAGCAACAGGTAGCCTTGTGCACCTGACTGGCTCCCTTACGCCACTTTAGAGGCTAAATATGCTCTGAAGTACACTGAAACTTCGAACTGAAGGTGAATAAGTCACGCAGTCATTGGGAAGGATATCTTAGCAATGACTGCGTGACAGCTCACCCTCCATTTCCCAAAGTTCAAGTTTGACTGATAACAAAAGTTGTCCACAAAGGCAGAATTGGCGAGAAATTTGGAGAGGGGGGTGGTCTGGCGCACGCGTTAAAAGCGCTAGCGACCCGACACATTTCAAAAAAATATAGTCTGAATTTCGAAAAAATGGAAAGTTAAGAGTCAAATAGTCTATATAATCTAAAGAATAGCAGGCGAACCAGATGCTGTTCACATCATTTTATGTACACATGATCGGACTCGACCCGAAGGAAGACTTGGCTAGGAATTCTTTTCAGGAGTACCGTGACCCCTCCATCCCAAATATAATATCCGTCCGAGAGGAGACAGAAGGGGGGGGGCGGCTGGGCACGCACGTTAAAAACGACAAGCGACACGACAAATTTCGAAAAAAATATAGTCTGAATTTCAAAAAGGGGAGTTAAGAGGCAAATAGTCTATATAATCTAAAGAATAGCAGGAGAACCAGGATGCTGTTCACCTCTTTTTATTTACGCTGATCGACCCTGACTTCTCTCCTCTAAAGCAATAAAAAAGAAGTCAAAGTGTAGGGCGCCAGCGATGCAGCGACTAGAAGCACAATCAAGCCCCACAGAGACCATCCAAATTGCATCACTCGGAACTATGTGCACTAGCACCACTTCGCGTTAGGGGGTGTGCACATATAGTTTGGGATGACCTTATAATTACTTTTTCGCACCTCGGCATACTTGCCAGTGGGATACCCCCAGATTAATTGCTTGCACGCTGACTGGTGACCTCTCATCAAGTTACTGACTATGAGTTAAGTGAATAAGATAAGTGAAGAGTCATTTAGAATGAATTTTCAAATGGGTGAGTATCCCACTGTGTATAATTCGCTAAGTTTATTTGTTGGTGTGTGGATGTGTTTTTTTTTGAGGAAATCCATGAATTCCTTTGATTCAGCCGGAGATGAGAGTTTGAAGTTGTAATGATACGGGGCGAAGGCAGGGATGGGGGGGGGAAGTGGGGGTGGTGGACGGAAACATGGATGATGGATGATGGGTGGCAGGAAGTGATAACAGCTGACATGGGGTCTTAAAAAGGGAGGGTCACCAAGTTCATAACTTGCGCTGCAGCTGTGGAGCGTTGATTCCAAGAAGTGACATAGGGGGTTGGATATGAGCTTCATTGGTGGGTGGCAGGAAGTAATATTAGCTGACAAGGGACAAGGGATTAAGGGATGATAATGTGTTAGGTGAAGGGTCGCCAAGTTCATAACGTGGGTTTCAGCATCGCTGGGATGTTTAGTCCTAAGAAATGACATAGTGAACGTATGGGTCATGAATATTATTTATGAGTGGCAGGACGCATTAAGAATTATTATGATCTGAGAAGGGAATCTGAAACTCAAGCGTCGCCCGTCACAGTAGCAGCAGGAAATTGGTTCCAATGAGTGATATAGTGGATGTGACGGGGTTATTACTGATGGGTCACAGAGAGGGATAACAACGGATAGGGGCAGATAAGAGGCGTTACCCTCTTCCACACTACCGAATCATAAAGATTTTGTGGTAATGGATCACGGGTGACAAGGGATTATATCGACTGATGGGCGTAAATGAGAGATAAGAGCTTATTTCCTCCCAATTTTTTACCACTACACTTCTATATAGGTTCACCGTAGCCAAGTATACAGCACCTATTGTTTTACTGCACGTCCAACCAACGGGAGGGGGGGGAAGGGTAGTTCACGTGAGGTCTACACCACAATCAAGAAAAGAATCAGCAGCGATAATTTATACGAGAAAGAAAAAACTTAGCATTAATCGCGATTCACTATGGTAAACATTTCGCATTTTTTTTCGCGCCAGGCGCGCAGTAGTGTGCGCCAGCCAAACTGGTGTTTCAATGAAACCAAGTAATGAGGTCTTTATTCATTTTTTTTTCCCATATCTCGTATTCTGTCTTTTATTGCAGTGAGCCTTAGGCCCAGTAGTAGCACCAGTTCAGCGTGCAAGCAATTAATCTGGGGGTATCCCACTGGCAAGCATGCCGAGGTGCGAAAAAGTAATTATAAGGTCATCCCAAACTATATGGTCACTCCCTTCGGGTGGCGGGAATGTCAATTTAGTTAGGCTGACCTCATTTAGCACCTCATTTAGCACCTTCCCATCCTCGCCTGTGGGGAGACGTGTGAGATCGCCTGTGGGATGACCTCACTTAATTGGCTGCACTGGCTGGTGACCTCTCATCATCATTTCCAGCTCATTCAATATAAAACGATGAATGTAAAATAAAAGAGTTTGGAGAATTAAAATTACACTCACAACTTCTGAAACACGAGCTCGAATGGGAAAGCGGTCTTTAAGGTGTAAAGAAGTCAGATTCTACATACTACTGGATTACAGAAGTACTCCCGAACTCTGCTACAGGCAAATTAGTTTAGAGCGGATGACCTTTCGCACATTATTAGACACCTTGCCTTTGATTCTTTGCATCACACCTACTTTGGAGGTCAATCGCAACTAGTATTTAAGCAAAAGAACTGCATTAAACAGGACCTTCCGTTTGTTTCTCAGCATGATTTCAGGTTACGGCGACTTTCTCTATACGGATTTTCTCGACCATAGCTTCCCAGGAGGTAGTCCGTCTATGTACAGCACACTAATTGTACAACACTTCCCAACCACACCAACGCTCCACAACTGCATGATTCGTCAATGTACATGGCCTCGCCGATCGACACCTCGTCTACACAAGGACTTCAACAGTCGTTCTACATACCTTCTTTTACAGACATTTACTACAGCGCATATGCCAAGGCGGATTTCACTAGCGCAGGCGCTAGTGAAATCGCCAAGAGGGGGTTGATTTCGACCTCAAGAGTTCATTCAGGAGCCACAACGAGAAAATCAGTTTGCCAGAATGGTGGCGACACCTATCAAAGCGTTATTAAAAAAATTCTCCTTCGGAATTTAGCCAAGGGAGGTCCAAATCCATATACTTTCCATGTTGTAGGTGTAGCATTTCTTCCCTCGCGCCCTGATTCCACGAGCTGAAACCACGGAGCACCTGCTGAGCTCTCCAGTACCAACAGGGCACGCCGCCTATGGAGGATGTGAAGGCTTCCTGAGGTACTTTGATGCGACTTGGCTACAAGGCACATTCAAAGATATGTGGTGTAAATGGAAAGTGGAAGAACTGAGGACAACAAATCTGGGCGGCCTCTAAGCGTTTTATACGAAAATAACTGTCCTACGCTGCGCGTCTCTCAAGAAGGTCCCCTCAAGACTCCTGGGCTCGAGTGGCAACTGACTGGATACCACAAGGAAAAAGAGGTCTCGGACGTCCCAGAACAAGATGGCTGGACGACTTCGCTCGTTATACTGGAGCAAGGACCAGAGACATGACTAGAAGATGGACGACATTATTCACCGCTGCCGGTTCCTCGAGAATCTTCGCACAAATGATCAAAAACACTCTATTTGTGTCTGTGCGATAAAGAATAAGGTCATTGATTACAAACGCTTCAAGTACATAACTAGACATTTTTAGGCGTCTTGGATTCCTTATAGATGTTGACCACCCGCCTCTAAGCGTACTTATTGAAGCCATGCGGAAACTCAATTACGAAGCGCGGGCAGCTCTTAAACGCCTGGAGGAGGTTGGACCTTCATTTTTCCACAGTGGTAAACCATACTTGCAACCTTTTCACGCCACAGAATCCTAATGATGCAAGATTGCTGCAGAGAAAAGATCGAGAAAGAAGGGCCAAGATAGCCGAAGAAATGGAAAGGTAGGCATCCTCGATCTTCTCAGATGCAAGTGGTGCATAATTAAGTAGATGAAGACACAATTAAGCTCCTCTCGATTCAGGTTTGATGAACTTTATCGAAATGGAGTGACTGACGATCAGGTAGAATATTACTGCAGAAAAATGGCCAGGTATGTTACAGACACAACTTCATAGTCTTGTTCTTGTAATTCGAATGTGTTTGTTTATGTATTTGTACGTATGTATGCTGATTTTTTCATAATTGTCAATGTAAAACTTGTGCAATGTTAATATAAGTAGTGAGTTAATAAATTGACGCTAATAAACTTTATCCAGTCTTCTGACGTTGATTCATCGCGGCTCGAGCGTCATAACAAGGGAGATCACTCAATTATGCCAGGGCTCCCCATTGGCAAGGGAGGCTAGGTGCGAGATGTGCCAGCCTAATTACCGGCCTAACTAAAGTTACACACCCCTTCGGTTGAAAAAGTAAGCCCGTCGGGTGAAGTTCAGCTCGGTGGGGGCATCAAATACTGCTCAGCGAAGCTTGTACAGGCTAAATTGTTTTTTTTATGGGAAACCTGTCAATTCTTCGTAACTACAGCGGCTCATTTGTACCAGCTTCGCTGTTTCAAAAGAGTTCACATGTGTTCCAACAAAGAGTCCTGTAATTAACATAATTGCAGAAGGGACTGCTCACTCTTTGCACCTTTACGAGGATGCAAAAATGCCCCTTTTGAGCCAAACATTGGCTCTTTTCAGCCCTGCCTTTGCAAGGACGTCCGTGGGACAACTGTGCATGAAAAGCCTCTTACTGAAGATTTGCTAAAATGCACGGCGTATCCTTCTGGCCTCACTATCAAGTTATAGCTCCCCTGATATAACCGTTATCAATGATAAAATAATGCTAGAAAGTTCGCTCTGAGCAAAATAAGAGGAAAGGGCACAAGTACCCTAAGCGATTGCATCACGCATGTCGCGTCGCGGTAGGGCAGGCCACGAGGGAGAACGCACTAGGCGGAGACACAGACGTCGAAAGTTCGCGAGGATTCGCGAGCGCCGCCGCGGCGGCTATATAAACAGCGGTCAGCTGAGCAGCAGCACGTCCGTCAAGTTCGACTCCTGCGAAAGATGTCACTGTGGATTCGTCCTGCTTCACTTTTCCCTCGATTCGTCGAGGAGGCCATGCGAGATTTCCGTCATATGGAACGAATGATGTTCGCTCCGCTGAGTCGTGTGATTCCTAGTGAAACCGTTTCGGAGGCTGCGACAACTGAAGTGAGTCGGGACGTGTTTAGTTTTAGTTACCTTTTATTTTATGCAATATTCTGCCTCGTTTCTTGCCTTCCTTTATGAAATCCCATCGATTCTGCTCTGTTTTGGCGCAGCTGAGCTTTAGTTTTATTGACAGCTGTTTTTGCAGATATTTGTAGCAGAACCCTACAGTAAGATGGACGTTTTTGTGCAGTGCACTCAAAGTATTTTAAACCACCTCAAACATATTCTATCACTATAGGCCTTTAGCTAAGATAGAACCCTCCTATCTCCAAATAGATGTCGTTTGCACGAAGGAATTGTCGGCTCAGTCGGCGGAGCTCACTACCCCTTCAATTAGGTCCGATAGGAACCCTTCCCCGCGAGGTTACCTGATCGCTTTGAACGTTTTTGCGTGGTTTTGTTTCGAAATCCGCAGTGCAGGCGGATAAAGGGCAGCAGCTGCCAGGGCTTCAAAAAGTGCGAAAAAAATATGTGGCAGACCAGGGGATAGGTTTTTATAGGGAAGCATTTATAAGATCGCAGCTGGACCACCAATCATGCGTGAAAAGTGGAAACAAAATGAAGATGAGCGAGCGCAAAGAAAAAACAGAAGATTGACGCGATGTAGGAGACCGAGTTCAAGCAATCTGCAGATTTCTCCCGAGGCTCGGATTTGGACGAGTGCAGACGACCAGAGTACAGAGTCCATCCCGCCCAGTATTGAGAAACCTTCGGATATGGTATTCGTAACATTTTTAGCCTTGAAGGACTTCTTGTTCAACAAAGTTTAAGGTGACCTGAAGAACTACTGCGAACCCGAAGAGTAATGAGTCGCCGTGAGCGTGCCGCGGTGCCCCCCCCCTCCCCTTCCAACTATGTTAGCGCCCCAAAATCTGCGTTAGGTTAGGCTTCTGCTCGTGCTTAGTTGTCTTTATGAACTTGGGAAGACCTCTAACTTTTACAAGTGCAGTTGAACCGATTATTTGTTGTAATTTATAACCCCTATTCCTATAGAAATTAAACCTGCCCCTATTCTGTGCTTGTGGTCAGTTTTGAAGGACTTTAATGCAAGATCTTTCTTTTTTTTCAAAGTAGCTTATAATGTCTTTTCCAGATGGTCAACAATGAGTCCAAGTTCGCAGTAACGATTGATGTGTCAAAGTTTAAACCAGAGAACCTGAAAGTGAACATTGATGGTCGGCAATTGACCATCGAAGGCAAGGAGGAGTCCAAGGAAGACAACAATTATTCCATGAGGTACGTTCTTTTTAGCAAGCCCGTCTGGCTGGTTTCAACTCAGGGTTATTACTGCCATATCTATTATTTCTTGATTTTTCAGGTCTTTCGTTCGCCAATGGGTGCTGCCAGAGAACGTTAATCTGGAGGCCATTCGTTCGTCACTGTCCGACAATGGTCGACTTTCCATTGAAGCGCCAAAACTGTCAAAGCCAACGGAGTCCGGAAGAAGCATTCCTATCGAACGAGTCAGTGAGAAGCAATGAAGTGTTTCTCGATAGTCCTTGTAAATGTGACTGTAATGTACCCACTGTGAATATGATTTAGTTGTCAGAGTGTGACCATTGCTCCGTCAACGACGTAAAGATTGTTGGTCCGCGTAAAGATTGTTGATTTGTTGTATCATTTCCTTGTACTGATTGTTTGTTAGAACTCCGTTTAGAAGTGCTGTTTTCGTATGACGCCAATAAAGTACCGATAAAGTTGTGAAGTTATTGACTTTCAGTACCATATCGGCTGCTTGGTGCACCTAGGCTATGACGCGCGTCGATGCGCTGCAACGCGCGCTGTCGCGAACTGCGAACACTGGCTTGGTTGGCACAAGATGCACCAGCATCGTATGGGGTGAAATGGCTATGCAAATATAATGGAATATAATGGTACCAGAGTTCGCCCCCCCCCCTCTACCCCACCGAACTTTGGACTTCCGATGCAACTCCCCTCTCGCAGTCTAACAATCAATGGACCGCTTTTCTCAGATTTTTCCCAAAATTTTGGAGGAATAGAAGGCACCAATCATCTGTCAGAAATAGTGGTTTCGTTGCCACGCCGTGGACCAGTAACACCTGTGAAGTGGGGAACAGCGAAATTCCTCGCGAAACGCAACGTGATCCGAATATGTGCCAAGACAATCGTAATATATAATCGACTGGACAATTCCTTACCTATGATGAACTTTGTAGGTAGTAGTTATACTTATTCTACTACTCCGCTGACATTTTGTGTCCGTTCTGTGCCATTTGAGCTCATTTGTGTTGTGTTCTCTTGAGTTGTGTTACGTTTCTGTGGTGTTTTTTGTATTCTTTTTCTTTTCTTTTCGTTCTTCTTTTAGTCCCGACCTGATTATGGTATCAAGGAATGTAGCGCACCTAGGAGCGCATATAATAAATAAATATGCCGCGCTGGACGTGGTGTACGACATCGCGCCCGCGAAAGGAGCTCTGTTCTGCCTACCCGTTCGACATTCATTCTCGGAGGAACAGGATCGATGGATATCACAGGCATGGAGTCTTGTTTCTCCTTCAGTTCACATGATTGTTGCTTCAATCGACAAACTGGTGTGCGTCAAGAAGTACCGCGCGACCTAACTCTACCACGATCGTAACTTGCTGAGCGCCTTGGAACGGCAAATGACGACTTTCTTGTCCGTGTCCCATGACCAGCTGACAGGCTTCGCCCAACGCTGGTTGGCAAAGTTGTATGTTTGTAAGTTGGACCGAGCATTATCCAGCAGTTGTAGAGGAGACATTGGCATTAATCCTTATCATCCCCTTTTCTAGGGACGGTCAATTAATAGTACCATTCTTGTCTGAAAAGATGAGATTGACCCTGCATCGGTGCATATTGAATATAGCTACCTGGCTTTTCACATTCATTTGAGCCATTTTGCTCCTGAAATAAAGCACATGGAGGACCTAAATCTGTTCGACCGCGGAAGTTTCATCTTTTCTATACATTTTCCTTGGGAGGTATGGTAGAACTGCCTGACTTTAGAAACCACACCCAAGGCTTGGCTGCCCTCCTCATCGAGAAAACTTTGGTATAATAGAAATGACAGTGAGCGTCCGGAAATAGATAAATAAATAAATAAATAAGAATAAACAAGCAGATAAATAAAATAGTAGGGCCGTTTTCGGAATGTTTTAAATGAAATGCTCCAGTACGACATGATTTCGCGGTCATTTCCGTAACATTGCCACACCCATCTCGATCAATGCGTTGTGGGTGGACGACACAAGTGGCACTCATCGTGAACTTCTCTCAACCATTCGCTGTCTATTCATATTCTTGACGATTCAGATGAGATTATTCATTTATTTATCATTTATTTATTCATTGGGCATGTGATTCTATCCTGCTCGATCCTGTATTATTTCTGCTAATATTGTTACTGCACCTGTTTGATTGTTTCCCCTTACTTTTCAGTCTGTAGCCAACATATTTTGCAATTCGCTATTGATTTCTATCAAAATCTTTTTCTAAGCAGAAAAGGAGGAGGAGACCAGGTGTACACATTCTTATAATACAATTTTCTCAATAGAAGAAACACGGCGCGATACGCTTTCATTGATACGCGACAGGAAGGAGCGAGGACGACGTCGAGGAGGGAACACTGCTGCGCTACCCTCACTGTTTTCGTGAACTGTGTTGATGAGCCTATTCGCTGCTGCGGATGGTTCGAGTAGGCACACTGGATAAAGCATCTGCACCCACATCCCAGCATCAGCATCTGAACGCTGTATCGAGCCGAGGCGGCAATTTCTAAGCTCCTTACTTCTGTATCTTGACGCTGCCGTGACTAGTCCCATGGCTCTGTGCCGTCCATTGTCAACGGCGTCTTTCGTAACAGAGCCTCTAAAAACGGCAGCCTGTTGCGGTTTGCGACTGTGGCCTCGGGCGCACCGTGTGCCTGGGCTCTGCAGCGCTCCACGGCCAAAACACGCGTTGCGCCGCCATCAGTAGGCAGGTGCCACGTGACGCCACGCCGCGTGCTGCTACTATATAAGTGGCCGGCGGAGAGGCTCCCGCGCGGAGCTCTCTTGGCGTCCCTTTCCTGCTGGGAGGAGAGTACCCCTCTCCTGCCAGGGGAAAGGTCGATGCCTGGCTCACGTGGAGTGGAAGCCCGAGTGGCACCAGACGCTGCGAGGGCTGACACTCGCGCAAGCCGGCAGAGTGCCGCCTTGCCGCTATTACCGCGAACGATGTCAATCATGGATCGATGGATTGGTCGTCCAGGACGGCAGGGTTGAGTATAGGAAAAGAGATTGATATCGTTATTTTCCGCCGTAATAAATGTGAGATTATATTAAGTGTTCTTGCGTTAGGGCAGATACTGGGGAGCGCCAGGGGGGTCCGACTAAGACGCTGTAGGTTGCTATGTCATGTTAATCATATTGGTCGTGCGTCCAGCGACCAGGGAACCCTTGGTCTGGTCCTCGTGGCCGGGCCAGGGGTAGGCCAGTCGTGGGGACAGTGCTACCGCAAGTTCCCCCCACAACCCCCGGGGATAGGAACCCTGCAGACCCTCGGGAGCGGAGGCTGCACTGGCACCAGTGCGGTCCCCGAGGAAGACCCTTAGGATGACGTGAGTTCCTGGACTCGGGACTCAAGGGGCTTTGAACCACCTCGATGCGTCGTGTTGAAGGGGTCAGAAGGGCGACTGCCTCTGAACTACGACACACCCGTACGTTGAATGGGATCCAGTCCAGTGCGGAATCCGGTCCTGCGCTCGTCTCATTCAGCGGCTGGGGGCAGCGGTTGATCCCGCACTACATGAACAGTTGGTGAGGAGAATAGGATTGCGTAGAATTGTGGGCAGGGATCGTCCGTTACGCAGGGCTGCATTTGTCGTGGACGCATTTGTACTCCTTACTATTTATCATCCTTACTATTATGTACGCGTTTTTGGTAGTCATTTTTAGCTGATAAGTGCAAAATAATACTTCATTCGCATTTTTTTTTCAATAGATTGTTGAAGCGTGTCGCGGTGGTTAACGACGCTGGTGTCCGCACCGCGCGCCTGGGTTCCATCGCGATCAACGGCTAACCACACGCAGCGCCAACTAATAGGCGCGTGACACGTGACACAGCACATAACACGCCCACCAATGCTAGTATAAAAGCGGTCACCGGAGCCAGTCTCTGGCTCTTCTCTCCCTCTGGGAGGTCAGGATGACTTGTACCCGAATGGGCGGGATGTTCGGAGCAGCACGCACTGTCGCGAAGGCTGGACGCTCGCGCAACCATGAATGGCGCCAACTGTCCTTTATAACCGACGGGGCGCTGCCTACCGCACTACCGCCGACGTCACCAGACGATAGATGGATCTGGTGGTCGTTCCACTATGGCTGATGTAACCAGTAGGTATAGAGGATTTTCACTACCTATCTATCCTCTATCCTTTTACTCTTCCTTCCGTTTTAACTGTATGTATGTGCAATTATCTATGTACCTTTATTTCCTCTCTTCAGCGATGACTAATCATTGTAACTTTCACTTTCGTTATCTGGTGGCTGATCGAGCTGCTCCAAAGGTCAACAACGGCTATCAGCAGCTTCATCTACAGGCAGCTCGCTCCGCCCCCTCCAAGCGTATAAATACAGGACAGTGCTCACTGTAGAGCATTCATCTCTTCTTGTTCAGTCTTGGGCGGCAGCCCACTCATCACTCTCTTATTCATACATTTAGTATTGATGTCATTGTTTAACTACCCAAGAGGTAAGCGGTATTTCGATTGGCTTCTCGAGCAGACGTAACAAGACCCGCGTGGCAGACATACAGCACGAGCAAACTACCATAGTAGGAGTGATTGCAGGACGTTCCTTCAACTTGAACTTGAGTACGTCTTAATCTATTTTGCTGTGTAGGGGGCATATAAGGGAAGGGGCGCTAGGGCAGAAGCTCGTCAGAAGCCTTTTAGCTGCTGGAAAAGATAAAGTAAAAGAGGACATTCGAACAAAAGAGTACAAGGTCGTTGAACTCAGTTTTTTATAAATGTATTGGGAAATTCAACTCGAAGGGGTAGCAGGCACCTTTTTTACAGGAGATACCGCCTTCAATAGGTACCGTCGTGACTTGCGTACGACTTAGAAGCTCCATGGTATGCGTTGGAAGGAAGACATGCTCTATTCGCCATGCTACAGTGAACACCGTTTGAAAGAAAGAATGTTGGAGCAACAGATGGCCAAATCGGAGCAGATGTCACACCAGGACGAGATCAAAGAAAAGCCTTATCAGAGTGACATGGAAATTTCGGATGAAGATTACCTCCTGAGGCTGATTAAAGAGAACCAGGACGGCGAAAACCCAGCCCAGAACGTTGGCGAAGCAAGCAAGGACACGAGCAAGCCTTCGAAGGAGCACGAGAAGAGAGCCGATGTCAAGTTTCTCAAAGAATACGAAGCAAAGAAGCAAGTGTTAGAAAGGATGGAAAATGCTCTCAACTCCTTCCCCTATCGCCGATACACGCAATACTCGGAAGGTGTCG